ATGGTCTTCCTCTACTCGGATCTGGGTGTCAATTTTTTTCTACACTTTTCGGTGTATTTTGTGCAAGAATATGCAATAAAATCGTCTGCCTAAGAAAAATTGAATTATTTTGGAAGGTTTTTTATGCTTTTGGATGTGTTTTTGGTCATAAAAATGGTCTTCCTCTACTCGGATCTGGGTGTCAATTTTTTTCTACACTTTTCGGTGTATTTTGTGCAAGAATATGCAATAAAATCGTCTGCCTAAGAAAAATTGAATTATTTTGGAAGTTTTTTATGCTTTTGGATGTGTTTTTGGTCATAAAAATGGTCTTCCTCTACTCGGATCTGGGTGTCAATTTTTTTCTACACTTTTCGGTGTATTTTGTGCAAGAATATGCAATAAAATCGTCTGCCTAAGAAAAATTGAATTATTTTGGAAGGTTTTTTATGCTTTTGGATGTGTTTTTGGTCATAAAAATGGTCTTCCTCTACTCGGATCTGGGTGTCAATTTTTTTCTACACTTTTCGGTGTATTTTGTGCAAGAATATGCAATAAAATCGTCTGCCTAAGAAAAATTGAATTATTTTGGAAGGTTTTTTATGCTTTTGGATGTGTTTTTGGTCATAAAAATGGTCTTCCTCTACTCGGATCTGGGTGTCAATTTTTTTCTACACTTTTCGGTGTATTTTGTGCAAGAATATGCAATAAAATCGTCTGCCTAAGAAAAATTGAATTATTTTGGAAGGTTTTTTATGCTTTTGGATGTGTTTTTGGTCATAAAAATGGTCTTCCTCTACTCGGATCTGGGTGTCAATTTTTTTCTACACTTTTCGGTGTATTTTGTGCAAGAATATAGAATAAAATCGTCTGCCTAAGAAAAATTGAATTATTTTGGAAGGTTTTTTATGCTTTTGGATGTGTTTTTGGTCATAAAAATGGTCTTCCTCTACTCGGATCTGGGTGTCAATTTTTTTCTACACTTTTCGGTGTATTTTGTGCAAGAATATGCAATAAAATCGTCTGCCTAAGAAAAATTGAATTATTTTGGAAGGTTTTTTATGCTTTTGGATGTGTTTTTGGTCATAAAAATGGTCTTCCTCTACTCGGATCTGGGTGTCAATTTTTTTCTACACTTTTCGGTGTATTTTGTGCAAGAATATGCAATAAAATCGTCTGCCTAAGAAAAATTGAATTATTTTGAAAGGTTTTTTATGCTTTTGGATGTGTTTTTGGTCATAAAAATGGTCTTCCTCTACTCGGATCTGGGTGTCAATTTTTTTCTACACTTTTCGGTGTATTTTGTGCAAGAATATGCAATAAAATCGTCTGCCTAAGAAAAATTGAATTATTTTGGAAGGTTTTTTATGCTTTTGGATGTGTTTTTGGTCATAAAAATGGTCTTCCTCTACTCGGATCTGGGTGTCAATTTTTTTCTACACTTTTCGGTGTATTTTGTGCAAGAATATGCAATAAAATCGTCTGCCTAAGAAAAATTGAATTATTTTGAAAGGTTTTTTATGCTTTTGGATGTGTTTTTGGTCATAAAAATGGTCTTCCTCTACTCGGATCTGGGTGTCAATTTTTTTCTACACTTTTCGGTGTATTTTGTGCAAGAATATAGAATAAAATCGTCTGCCTAAGAAAAATTGAATTATTTGGGAAGGTTTTTTATGCTTTTGGATGTGTTTTTGGTCATAAAAATGGTCTTCCTCTACTCGGATCTGGGTGTCAATTTTTTTCTACACTTTTCGGTGTATTTTGTGCAAGAATATGCAATAAAATCGTCTGCCTAAGAAAAATTGAATTATTTTGGAAGGTTTTTTATGCTTTTGGATGTGTTTTTGGTCATAAAAATGGTCTTCCTCTACTCGGATCTGGGTGTCAATTTTTTTCTACACTTTTCGGTGTATTTTGTGCAAGAATATAGAATAAAATCGTCTGCCTAAGAAAAATTGAATTATTTTGGAAGGTTTTTTATGCTTTTGGATGTGTTTTTGGTCATAAAAATGGTCTTCCTCTACTCGGATCTGGGTGTCAATTTTTTTCTACACTTTTCGGTGTATTTTGTGCAAGAATATGCAATAAAATCGTCTGCCTAAGAAAAATTGAATTATTTTGGAAGGTTTTTTATGCTTTTGGATGTGTTTTTGGTCATAAAAATGGTCTTCCTCTACTCGGATCTGGGTGTCAATTTTTTTCTACACTTTTCGGTGTATTTTGTGCAAGAATATGCAATAAAATCGTCTGCCTAAGAAAAATTGAATTATTTTGGAAGGTTTTTTATGCTTTTGGATGTGTTTTTGGTCATAAAAATGGTCTTCCTCTACTCGGATCTGGGTGTCAATTTTTTTCTACACTTTTCGGTGTATTTTGTGCAAGAATATGCAATAAAATCGTCTGCCTAAGAAAAATTGAATTATTTTGGAAGGTTTTTTATGCTTTTGGATGTGTTTTTGGTCATAAAAATGGTCTTCCTCTACTCGGATCTGGGTGTCAATTTTTTTCTACACTTTTCGGTGTATTTTGTGCAAGAATATGCAATAAAATCGTCTGCCTAAGAAAAATTGAATTATTTTGGAAGGTTTTTTATGCTTTTGGATGTGTTTTTGGTCATAAAAATGGTCTTCCTCTACTCGGATCTGGGTGTCAATTTTTTTCTACACTTTTCGGTGTATTTTGTGCAAGAATATGCAATAAAATCGTCTGCCTAAGAAAAATTGAATTATTTTGGAAGGTTTTTTATGCTTTTGGATGTGTTTTTGGTCATAAAAATGGTCTTCCTCTACTCGGATCTGGGTGTCAATTTTTTTCTACACTTTTCGGTGTATTTTGTGCAAGAATATAGAATAAAATCGTCTGCCTAAGAAAAATTGAATTATTTGGGAAGGTTTTTTATGCTTTTGGATGTGTTTTTGGTCATAAAAATGGTCTTCCTCTACTCGGATCTGGGTGTCAATTTTTTTCTACACTTTTCGGTGTATTTTGTGCAAGAATATGCAATAAAATCGTCTGCCTAAGAAAAATTGAATTATTTTGGAAGGTTTTTTATGCTTTTGGATGTGTTTTTGGTCATAAAAATGGTCTTCCTCTACTCGGATCTGGGTGTCAATTTTTTTCTACACTTTTCGGTGTATTTTGTGCAAGAATATAGAATAAAATCGTCTGCCTAAGAAAAATTGAATTATTTTGGAAGGTTTTTTATGCTTTTGGATGTGTTTTTGGTCATAAAAATGGTCTTCCTCTACTCGGATCTGGGTGTCAATTTTTTTCTACACTTTTCGGTGTATTTTGTGCAAGAATATGCAATAAAATCGTCTGCCTAAGAAAAATTGAATTATTTTGGAAGGTTTTTTATGCTTTTGGATGTGTTTTTGGTCATAAAAATGGTCTTCCTCTACTCGGATCTGGGTGTCAATTTTTTTCTACACTTTTCGGTGTATTTTGTGCAAGAATATGCAATAAAATCGTCTGCCTAAGAAAAATTGAATTATTTTGGAAGTTTTTTATGCTTTTGGATGTGTTTTTGGTCATAAAAATGGTCTTCCTCTACTCGGATCTGGGTGTCAATTTTTTTCTACACTTTTCGGTGTATTTTGTGCAAGAATATGCAATAAAATCGTCTGCCTAAGAAAAATTGAATTATTTTGGAAGGTTTTTTATGCTTTTGGATGTGTTTTTGGTCATAAAAATGGTCTTCCTCTACTCGGATCTGGGTGTCAATTTTTTTCTACACTTTTCGGTGTATTTTGTGCAAGAATATGCAATAAAATCGTCTGCCTAAGAAAAATTGAATTATTTTGGAAGGTTTTTTATGCTTTTGGATGTGTTTTTGGTCATAAAAATGGTCTTCCTCTACTCGGATCTGGGTGTCAATTTTTTTCTACACTTTTCGGTGTATTTTGTGCAAGAATATGCAATAAAATCGTCTGCCTAAGAAAAATTGAATTATTTTGAAAGGTTTTTTATGCTTTTGGATGTGTTTTTGGTCATAAAAATGGTCTTCCTCTACTCGGATCTGGGTGTCAATTTTTTTCTACACTTTTCGGTGTATTTTGTGCAAGAATATAGAATAAAATCGTCTGCCTAAGAAAAATTGAATTATTTTGGAAGGTTTTTTATGCTTTTGGATGTGTTTTTGGTCATAAAAATGGTCTTCCTCTACTCGGATCTGGGTGTCAATTTTTTTCTACACTTTTCGGTGTATTTTGTGCAAGAATATGCAATAAAATCGTCTGCCTAAGAAAAATTGAATTATTTTGGAAGGTTTTTTATGCTTTTGGATGTGTTTTTGGTCATAAAAATGGTCTTCCTCTACTCGGATCTGGGTGTCAATTTTTTTCTACACTTTTCGGTGTATTTTGTGCAAGAATAT